GTCGTCGTCTTCTTATACGTCGTCAAAATATTGCAGACCACTAATTTGATGCCTTAGAATACGCCGCCACTTGCCGCGTATTTGTCGTTCGCCTGAGATACACCGAACTTCAATCGCGGACGAGTCCCCAAAATTGTGGGAGGATAAATTAAGGTCGTTTCGCTAGGGAATCTCCTTTATTACGCGGATTAACAAATTTTACTTTAAGAGCTCAAACGTCGTTCCTACTGTATATCGCCATTACTCTTTTTTTTCCCATCTCTTTCACACAGATCTTCCTTTTCCTAACTTCCGTTCGATCCGTTTCATGCATCACTTATTCATTCATCCCACATATATATATATATATACATACAAAAATACACATCTTCCCGACATCATCTTGACGACCCTAATGGCGTAGTGGGTAGTGTACCTGCCTCCTGCGCCAGAGGGTGTGGGATCGATCCTCACTACTGGAAAAATATTGTGTGATGAACATAGTGTTTTTCTAGTGTCTGGGTGTTTATATATGTATAATATGTATTTATTTACAAAAGAAAAGTGTTTAAGTTATCAGTTATCTGGTACCCATAGTACAAGCGTTGCTTAGTTTGGGACTAGAGAACGTTCTGTAAAAAATCTGTCCTAAAATATTTATATTTTATTTCCTCTCTATAATACTAATAAATAACATATTCTAGTATAGATTATTTTTGAAAGAAATATGATAGCCACAAAAACGATTTAACAAATGGAAAAAGAATCTACATTAAATATGACCATCGGCGGCCACAGCGTGACACACGATAATCAACATAATTATAAAGAACCGACCATTTTTGTGGAGTCACATACGATTTTTCTGTGATTTAAGACCACAGATATTGCTAACTCATGATTATTCCTAATCAAGTGACTTTCGCGATTATTAACGGGATATCATTTCCTGCAGAAGAATGATAAGTTGAATATCACCTGTTATCCAGTTTAGATCTTAAACTTACCTCGCCAAACGTGAGAGAAGATTGTGGGATAACAAAAGATTCTATATCCTACACGATTGCGTGACTAAAGGGCCTCGTTTAATACGCTACAATTACCGTAATAGGAAACCGATGTGGTTGAGAATGAAATCGAGAAACTTCCTTGCCTAGACAGCAGACACATACATCGATCCATACATAGGTATATGTAACAACTGACAATCTCAGACTATTATATTTATAAGGTCAAGTGGAGGTCACGCAACGGATTCTGCTGTTGCAAAAATTGGTAGGCTCAACCGGGGAACGACCACGAACGTTTCCTCTGGTAAGTGAAGTAACCAGGGCCCTTTATTTTAAGGTTGTCAACGCATGAGCAAGCCATCGGGTGTTCTAAATGTCCATGGGCGGCGGTATTCGTTTGACGTCATAAAAAAAATTACACACCCCTACATGTTGTCTCAGTACTGAGCACAGAGTTTGCACGGGTGCAATGTGTTATACATATAAACCTTCCTCTTGAATCACTCTATCTAGTAAAAAAAAACCGCATCAAGATCCGTTGCGTAGTTTTAAAGATCTAAGCATACATAGGGACAGACAGACAGCGGGACGACTTTGTTTTATACTATGTAGTGACGAATATAACGCAACATACAAACGGTGCCGTATTGACTGCGTGTAGAATCGCCAAGGCCGACCGCTTATGGAGGCGTCCACAAAAATCACTATTTTTATCGCAATACGCGCACAAAGTGCTACCTCATTGTTACCGAGTGACTTCCTTATATTAAATTAAGACGGCGATAAGTGGTCCTAATCCTGAGGATCGCCGAGTCATTTCCAGATTGTTTTAGTCGCCACGCGTTTAAATAAATAAATAAATATTTCGGACACATTTTTACGCAACGTTCTTTAGTCCCAAACTAAGCAACGCTTATACTATTGGTACTAAATATCTGATTAACATACATAAAATTACTTTTCTTTTGTAAATCAATACATATTACAATAAACAGCCAGACGCTGGACTATTAAATTTTGTGTGATGAACATGCATCACACAAAATTTAGTAGTGGGGATCGAACCCACAGCCACTGGCGCAAGAGGCAGGCTCACTAGCCACTACGCCAATCGGGTCGTCGTGTTTGCATATAAGTTCACAAATTAAGACAATACCTACTAAATGCTAGGCTGAGAAGTCGATTCTAATGTAAGGGCATCAAGGGTAGTACGTACTAGGCTTTCAATTTCTTTGATCGTTACTACTACGTGAACGCAATTCCTGGACAGATGAAAGTTTTTGGCAACTCCAATCACTTGTAAAGGAAGAGGTTTAAGGGTGGTAAGGATGACGAGGTACGAAGGACACTGGCAACACGCTTGCAACATCATGACGTCACCAGAGATGTTGCAAAAGCGTAGAAAGCCGCTAATTGTCGTTTTACGTTTATTTCCGCACGAAAGGGCAGGCTCGTCCGGGTAAGTACCGGGACCTGAAGTGGTAGTATACCTTCCGCGTTGCGTCCGGTGAGTTAGGTAGCCGTAGCCCAATTTTCCAAAACCCATGGGTGCAGCAGATGTCCATGGGCGGCGGTATTCACTTAGCATCAGGTGAGCCGCCAGCATGATTGCCAGCTTTTCACATTAAAAAAAATCAACCCAGCCCACATAACCAAAACTTAGGTCGCCGCAGAAAAACTGAGGCGGTCGCACCTATGCAAATTCCGGAGCTCTCCCGGATCGGAACGTGCCCGTGGTTACATTATACTGTTTGTTGCCACTACAGTTTGCATATTCTTCAGGTTGACTCGTTGGCACAGAGGCCGCACTGACGTCATGCAGCCCTGAATTCGCATGGAACAGGTGCTCAGCGGTGAAGGAAAACATCGGGAGGAAACCTGCATATTTTCGAAACAGTAACAAAAAAAATATTTCGTATTTGTGAAGTCGACCAATCCGCAGTGGGCCGCGTGGTGGACTATGCCCTGATACCTACAGTCTCTGTACAGAGGTGGCCTTTGCCCAGCAGTGGGACATGGCTGATACTTTTACTTTAGGTCCAACATGCGTGAAGTACACGGCAAAAAGAAGAAACCAGAAGAGAGCCATGAAGAGCCATCGGTGCTCGCAAGTAATCAGAGTGGAGTCGTGAACACCCTCTGAACATGGGGGGAACGATCTGCAAAATGTGGTCAAGAATTGCGGCTTGGCGTAGGTCCTAGATTTAGACTGTCCTGCAGAGTTTTAGGTGCAAATGTCTCAAGGTGCAGGGTATATTAAAGACAATTACGTTTTAATAAATACATTGTCTTTAACATATACCCTGCATAACGCATGCCCATACTGCGAGGCGTTTAAATCGCGCACGTAGGGTTCCGTAAAATTATCTATAAAAACGCCAAAAAATCATGGAGCTCCAATTAAATATCTTTTAATTCTGTTTTTTTTTTTGTATTTGCTGTTATAGCGGCAACAGAAATACATCATGTGTATGTGTGTATGTGTTTCAACTGTCGAACTATAATGGTTCATTAGATACAGTCTGGTAACAGAAGGCCAAACTGACAGACAGACAGCGGAGTCTTAGTAATAGGGTCCCGTTTTACCCTTTGGATGCTGAACCCTTAAAATTGTTCCACTTTTCATTACAATATGAGATATAAGTGAATGTAACATGATATAGAACGTATGGTACGGAAAGAGATAGCAGCCTATAGAATTGCAATATAACTATACAAATTGGCGTAGTCCGAGTGCCCCAGTTTCAGTGCTAGTACTACTGTCATATCTACCTCATATTTGTATATAATAGCTTTGGTTAAAGATATTAAAAAAACATAATACCCCACGCGAAGGATTGTTGTGTCATACTTCTTTTTTTTCTTTTTGTCTTTTTTTAAAGAAACATTGCCCTTACTTTAGGATAACATTATCCTGTGTTGTAAGGACGTTGTACAATCATAAATTTCACGCGGACAAACGCCCAGATACGGAACAATTATCTGTGGGTCACACAAATAGTTGTCCCGTGTGGGAATCGAACCCACGACCCCGACGCCGAAGCCAATGCCTTGGCAACTGCGCCACGGAGTCATCACAGTCATCATCGCTTCAGTTATATGTTGTGTGTATGTTGCAAATCGGATATTCAAAAACAATTGGAACAATGTTAATCAGCCACCGTGAAATCATCTGATTGCATGTAAGGTACACCATTACGTAAACTCTTAACGGTCGTGTAAATTTATGAAGTGCTACATCAAATAAAATATTAAGCAAGTCGATTTTTTTATTAACGAAAAACAAAAGCGACTTCAACTACCTCGTTCTGTGTTCATTTTAATTAATTTCCTTAAATATCTCCGGAGCCCAAGATCCCAATACCGATGAAATTATGGGACCACAGGTTCGGTCGGAAGTAACAAGGTAACAAACGTAAAAAAATACAGTCGCTCAATTCGACTGTACTTCCTCCGTTTTCGAAGTCGGTTGAATCTCGAATGTCATGCGTCGGCAGTCTGGCTCCATCCACCTCTATTGGATCACTCGTTTACCAAATAGACGACTAGTAGACAGCCACATTTGCATAACTATATATTGCTTCGTTAACGTTATAAAGTTATCTAGACTTTTTAGAAGTTATCTAGACTTTTAGAAATGCAAACAGCGAATCCATACAGTCGCATGTACTATAATACTAGCTGCTGCCCGCGACTACGTCTGCGTAGAATAGGCTGAAGGTGTAACATTAAGACAGAAAGACAGATATACATAAAATATGTGTATAAATTATAGCCTGTATTCTGATGTATAAGCTATATTATTGTAAAGTTTCATTAAAATCCATTCAGTAGTATTTGCGTGAAAGAGTAACAAACATCCATCCATACATACAAACTTTAGCCTTTATAATATTAGTAAGGAAGTAAGGATTGGCTATTAGAAATTTCTCATGAACAACAAAGGCATCATAAAATGACGACAGTAACGAAACCAATTAACAGAAGCGGGACATTGCAAACCGTACAAACCCAATATCTGGAGAAATCTGTCTCGCCCGGCATCTTTCCCACTGTCCTCTTGTCCAAGGCTATCTCAATAAAGTGAGGTATTTACGGACGAGGTCGAAAAGACGATCGCACATTCGGCGGTATAGGAACCGACATCTACGCGCATGCGCGGGCGTTAACTGAACGCTCTGTGATAACGCGACGGCATGGTTGTTATCTCGGCCGCCTGTGGCACCGAAGTGTAATCGCTACATAGTCTATTATACAGGGAGACTTTTTTAAAGGTGCCCAAATTTACACAGGGAGTTCGACTCTGTAGTATAATCGTTTATTGAAATAAAAACCAAAACTTAACACAAACGTAATTGTGTGCGTGTTAGTTATGAATGATCGCGCGTAAAATATGTAAATGAGTTGCGTATAAATTGACACTTTTTGTTTTTTTTTTAATTAATTACTTACGAGTGATTTAAATTATTAATCATTTTTATATGACATTATTTATATCTAGAATTTAATTATAAAATTGGATACACTTAGAAAAGCTTCCCTGTATACTAGCGACCCGCTGCGACTTCGCACGGGTGCAATGCATTATACATATGTATAAACCTTCCGTTTTTCTAGTGTCTGGGTATTTATATATGTATAATGTGTATTTATTTACAAAAGAAAAGTATGTTTAAGTATGTTTATCAGTTTTCTAGTACCCATAGTACAAGCGTTGCTTAGTTCGGGATTAGAGAAAGTTGTGTAAAAAAAATGTGTCCTAACAATATTTATTATTTATTTATTCATTTTCAGAGTGTGTTATCATTTAAATAAGCAACTGATGCATAGTGAACGTTTTCTGATATTTTGTTCTACGCAGTCTAGTTGCGGCTAGAATTAATTTGTTTGTTCTTAGTATTTACACCATGCACATTACCATGTCTAGAAAATTCCTGCTTATTTATGTGAACATATATAACATTTAAGTTATCCTCTATATGTGTGTTCATTTATTGTCGCGATGGTAAAGACACGCTGTATATTTTCTTAGTACCTGTACCCTGCACGAGCATTAAGAGAATGAGGCGATATTCAACCATGGGCCGATTTGGTAATTCAAAAAACCAGCTGATTGCGAGTAGGCTCCAGCACGAAGGGTTCCGTACCATTATCTATAAAAATGGCAAAACATCATGTTTGTTATTTGGGAGCCCCATTCAAATATTTTTTTATTTTGTTTTTTTAGTATTTATAGTTATAGTGGCAACAGAAATACATCATCTGTGCAAATTTCAACTGCCTTACTGTCACGGTTCACAAGATACAGCCTGGTGACAGACGGACAGACAGCGAAGCCTTAGTAATGGGATCCCGTTTTACCCTTTGAAAACCCGTTTTACCTTTAAAAATTACAGCATCATGAAACATTAGTTCGCCCTTTCAATTGACATTCCTTCCTTAAAAATCTTCCATTCACATTTTCAAATATATCGAAATATACGGCAACGGAAACTTATATTTTCGTGTCGTTTGAAGAGATTGAAATATATAGAAAGTTTTATGAAATTGATCCACATGTGTTTATTTAGATATACAATTATTTTTTTCACGAATTCGGAATTTCACGGCTTTTCTCTACCACCATATGCATGACTGTGGTGGGGTCAACAGTTTTCACTGTTGCACGAATGGGTACGAATGTAAAGAAGATTACGAGCCATTTACTTTTAATATGACTAAACCTTAACCTTAATTTGGAAATATGGTGTTGAATGTATTGAGGGCCACGCAGCAGCCTCGGCTGTTGCACGAATAAGCAGGCCCGTCCGGGTAAGTAGCACGACCTCACAGAAGACCAGCGTAAAGTGGAAGTATGACAAATATTTTCGCGTTTCATCTGGTGAGTGAGGTAGCCGGAGCCCAATTTTCAAAAAGGTTGTCAACGCATCTGTAACCCTCGAGTGTGGCATATGTCCATGGGCGGCGGTATTCTCTAAACATCAGGTGAACCGTCTGCTCGTTTGACAACTTTTCGCATAAAAAAAAGATTGAATATATTATATATAATTAGGTGTACTTATGCGATGACAATGGTGGGGAACCCTTCGTGCGCGAGACCGACTCGCACTTGGCCGGTTTTTTTAGGAACATTTCGCAAAAGCAAAATCAACGATATTACACTCTGGTATACACGAATCGTTGTTATCGTACAATATAAGGCGATAAAGTAATTGTGCACTGTTTCCTCATTAAGTATAAAATGCCGTTCGCAAGAAAGTATAATTGTATCACAAAAGAAACAGAGATAAGAAGACCGGATAATTTCTTGTCGGTTCTTTTTTTATTTTTTTAAAAAACATTACTTTTGAGAATGTTATCCTAAAAGTAAGGGCAGTGTAATAAATAGTAGTAAAATTATATAGTATAGTAATAAGTAAAATTATAACAAAATCCTGTGTTGTGAGATCGTTACAACACGGGATTTTATTATAATTCTACTTCGACTACGGTGGTAGAGCCACGCAGCAGCCTCGGCTGTTGCACGAATGGGCAGGCCGGCGTCAAGTGGAAGTATAATACGGCGCGTTTCGTCTGGTGAGTGAGGTACCCGGAGCGCAATTTCCAAAAAGGTTGTCAACGCATCTGCAAACCCTCTTGTGTACTTAGCAGATGTCCATGGGCGGCGGTATTCACTTAACATCAGGTGAACCGTCCGCTCGTTTGGCTACTTTCACATAAAAAAAAAACGTTTTACAAACATAAATTTCACGTAGACACACACCGAAATGCGAAACAACTATCTGGGTCACACAAATAATTGTCCCCTGCGGGGATCGAACCCACGTTTTTACACAACGTTTTCAATTCCCAAACTAAGCAAAGCTTGTGCTATGGGTACTAGATAAGTTTATAAACATCATATGTTATAAACATCATTTTACGAGTAGTGAGGATCGAACCCACACCCGCGCATGAGGCAGGGTCAGTACCCGCTACATCGATCGGGTCGCAAAGATCTTTTAATTTTAAAGTACCCGGAGGTCCTCCAGATCGTGATGTGAACCGCGGCCGTCTGTTTTGGGACCGGGGTAATCGGTTTACCGACCGAGCTATTACAACATTTATTTTTGCGGCGAAATTTACTGTCATATTCGAATGATAACTTTCACTCCCTGAAAACAGGGATAAAAGGACATTTTCTAAAAATGAAACCTAGCTAGATCGATTTTTCGCCCCCGAATCTACGAACATACTAAATTTCATGAATATCGCTGGAGCCGTTTCCGAGATTCCGATTATATACAACGTGTCCCAAAATTCAACCATAAGCCAACACCGGAGGATAGACCTGCCCCGGACTAATCGGGGAAAAAAAGAAAAAAAATATATATCCCAATTACATTTTAAGTTTTATAAAAAAATGAAATTCTTCAGAAATTGAGACCGTTTATGATATTTTTCGCTACCATGACCACAATTTTTTAAATATTTTTTCTTTTTTTTTTATAGGCAACCTGAATAGTACTGCTATCTACCACAATTCTTAAAAACTCCAGAATAACTCTTGTTTATCACGAAAATTAATGAAACTTATTTTATTCCCTAAATTTTTGAAGACTTTTCATCATCATCATCATCATTTCAGCCTGTTTGAGTCCACTGCTGAACATAGGCCTCCCCAGTAGACTGCCACGAAGTACGATCCTGAGCCACCTGCATCCATCGACTTCCCGCACATTTGCACAGGTCGTCATTCCATCTAGTGGGGGGGTCGTCCTACACTGCGATGGCCAGTACGAGGCTGCCACTCGAGAACCTTTCTTCCCCAACGGTTATCGGTTCTACGAGCTATATGGCCGGCCCATCGCCACTTCAGCTTGCTAATCCTCTGAGCTATGTCGGTTACCTTGGTTCTACTGCGGATGTCTTCTCTAAACTCGAACTCTATGACGCAGAGATATACCGAGCATAGCCCGCTCCATAGCTCGCTGAGCGACTTTGAGCTTCCTCAGACGGCCAGCAGTGAAGGACCATGTCTCGGTTTCGTAGGTCATCACTGGCAACACACATTGATTGAAGACTTTAGTCTTCAAACATTGAGGTATATTCGACGAGAAGATTTGCCGAAGTTTCCCGAACGCTGCCCATCCGAGTTGGATTCGCCGATTGACCTCTGCGTCGAAGTTGGACTTACCTAGCCGGACTAACTGTCCTAGGTAAACGTACTCGTCAACAACTTCGAGCTCAGTGCTCCCAACAACAACCGGTATAGGCGTGACATGGACATTAGACATGATCTTCGTCTTGTCCAAGTTCATCTTAAGGCCCACCCGTTGGGAGACACTGTTGAGGTCATTGAGCATAGCACCCAGGTCATCCAGCGATTCTGCCATGATGACTATATCGTCGGCAAATCGAAGGTGGGTGATGTATTCGCCATTGATGTTAATACCTCGTCCTTTCCAGTCCAGAAGCTTGAAAACATCTTCCAACGCAGCGGTGAAGTTTCGGGATTAGACATCACCCTGCCTTACACCCTTCTGCACATGGATAGGTTTTGTACTACTGGACTGTACTTGTACCCGAACAAGCCGGATTCCGAAAAGGCTTCAGTACCATAGACCACATACACACCTTGCGGCAGGTTATACAGAAGACCGATGAGTATAATCTGCCTTTGTGCCTAGCGTATGTGAACTCTGAGAAAGCCTTCGATTCTGTCGAAATTTGGGCGGTACTCCAGGCTCTTCAGCGGTGCCAAATTGACTGTCGGTATATCGAAGTGCTGCAGTGTTTGTATAACAAGGCTACGATGTCCGTCCAAGTACAGTCCAGTAGTACAAGACTTTTACTTTTAACTAAATTTAACTTATCGTGGTGTAAAAAAAAAGTATGAGCACTAGTATGGCAAGTTTTTTTTAAAAATTGACGCAACTAACCAACATTCCCAAGTGGTATAATACTCTAGGAAAACAAGTTATAAAAAAATATGGGCCTATTATTTCTTAACAGGGGCCAAATGACGGTCGGGTGTAATAAAAGTATTAGTTCTTGAAAAATGT